TGAAACCCACTTGGTCATGGTGGATTATCTTTTTGATATGCTGTTGAATTTGGTTAGCTATATTTTGTTGAGGATTTTTGCGTCTGTGTTCATCAGGGATATTGGTCTGTAGTTTTCTGTTTTTGTTAAGACCTTTCCTGGTTTCGGTATTAGGGTTATACTGGCTTCTTAGAATCATTTAGGGATGATTCACTCTTTCTCTATCTTTTGGAATAGTTTCAATAGGATTGGTACCAATTATTCTTTGAATGTCTGATATATTTCAGCTGTGAGTTTATCTGGTCCTGGACTTTTTTTTATTGGCAACTTTTTTATACCATTTAATCTCGCTGCTTGTTATTGGTCTGTTCAGAGTTTCCATTTCCTCCTGGTTTAATCTAGGAGGGTTTGTATATTTCCAGGAATTTATCCATCACCTCTAGATTTTCCAGTTTGTATGTATAAAGGTGTTCATAGTAGCCTTGAATGATCTTTTGTATTTCTGTAGTATTGGTTTTAGTATCCCCCGACTCCTTTTTAATTGAGCTTACTTGGATCTTCTCTCTTCTTGGTTAATCTTGCTAATGGTCTGTCAGTTTTGTTTATCTTCAAAGAACTAGCTTTTTGTTTCATATCTCTTTTGTATTTTTGTTGTTGTTGTTGTTTCAGTTTCATTTAATTGTGCTCTGATCTTGGTTCTTTTCTCTTGCTGAGTTTAGGTTTGGTTTGTTCTTGTTTCTCTAGTTACTGGAGGTTTGACCTTAGATTATCTACTTGTGCTCTTTCAGACTTTTTGATGTAGGCATTTAGTAGTATGAACTTTTGTCTTTGCACCTTTTTTGCTGTATCTCAGAGGTCTGTATACACTATTATTGTTCAGTTCAAAGGATTTTTAAATTTCCATCTTGATTTCATTGATGACCCAACAAACATTCAGGAGCAGATTATTTAATTTCCATGTATTTGCATGGTTTTCAAGGTTCCTTTTGGAGTTTATTTCCGATTTTATTCGGCTGTGGTCTGGGAGAGTACTTGGTATAATTTTGACTTTCTTAAATTTATTGAGACTTGTTTTGTGGCCTGTCATATAGTTTATCTTGGAGAATGTTCCATGTGCTAATGAATAGAATGTATACTCTGCAGTTGTTGGGTAGAATGTTCTGTAAATATCTGTTAAGTTAATTTGTTCTAGGGTGTAGTTTAAGTCAATTGTTTCTTTGTTGACTTTCTGTCTTGCTGACCTGTCTAGTGCTGTCAGTGGAATATTGAAGTCCCCTACTATTATTGTGTTGCCGTCTGTCTCATTTCTTAGGTCTAGTAGTAATTGTTTTATAAATTTGGGAGCTCCAGTGTTAGGTGCATATATATTTAGGATCGTGATATTTTCCTGTTGGACTAGTGCTTTTAACATTATATAATGTCCCTCTTTGCTTTTTAAACTGTTGTTGCTTTAAAGTCCATTTTGTCTGATATAATAGCTAGTCCTGCTCACTTTTGGTGTCCGTTTGCATGGAATACCTTTTTCCACCCCTTTACCTTAAGTTTATGTGAGTCCTTATGTGTTAGGTGAGTCTCTTTAAGACAGCAGACTTGGTTGGTGGATTCTCTTTTTTTTTTTTTTTTTTTTTGAGACAGAGTTTCACTCTTGTTGCCCAGGCCGGAGTGCAATAGCACTATCTCAGCTCACCACAACCTCCGTCTCCCGGGTTCAAGTGATTCTCCTGTGTCAACCTCCCGAGTAGCTGGGACTACAGGCGCCCACCACCATGCCCAGCTAATTTTTGTATTTTTAGTATAGACGAGGTTTCACCATGTTGGCCAGGCTGTTCTCAAACTCCTGACCTCGTGATATGCCCGCTTCGGCCTCCCAAAGTGCTGGGATTACAGGCGTGAGCCACTACACCCGGCCCTTTTACATTCAGTGTTATTACTGAGATGTGAGTGAGGTACTATTCTATTCATCATGCTAGTTGTACCTTGTTTTTTTATTTTTCATTGTGTTATTGTTTTATAGACCCTGTGAGATTTTTTTCTTTAAGGAGGTTCTATGTTGGTGTATTTCAAGGTTTTGTTTCAAGATTTAGAATTCCTTTTAGCAGTTCTTGTAGTGCTGACTTGGTAATGGTGAATTCTCTCAGCATCTGTGTGTCTGAAAAAAACTTTATCTTTCCTTCATTTATGAAGCTTAGTTTCACTGGATACAAAATTCTTCGCGATAATTATTTTGTTTAAGGAGGCTATCGATAGGACTCCAGTCCCTTCTAGTTTGTAGGGTTTCTGCTGAGAAATCTGCTGTTAATCTGGTAGGTTTTTCTTTATAGCTTACCTGATGCTTGTGCCTCACAGCTCTTAAGATTCTTTCCTTCATCTTGATTTTAAATAATGTGATGACTAAGTGCCTAGGTGATTATCTTTTTGTGATGAATTTTCCGGGTGTTCTTTGAGCTTCTTGTGTTTGGATGTCTAGGTCTCTTGCAAGGCCAGGCAAGTTTTCATTAATTATTCCTTCAAATAAGTTTTCCAAACTTTTAGATTTATCTTCTTCTTTGGGAACACCAGTTATTCTTAGGTTTGGTCATTTAGCATAATCCCAAACTTCTTGGAGGCTTTGTGCATTTGTTTTGTTGTGTGTTTTTTTTTTTTTTAATTATTTTTTCCTTGTCCTTGTTGGATTGGGTTAATTTGAAAGTCTTGTCTTTGAGCTCTGAAGTTTTTTTCTTCTACTTGTTCGATTCTGTTATTGAAACTTTCCAGTGTATTTGTCATTTCTGTAAATGTGTCTTTCATTTCCAGAAGTTGTGAAGGGAGTGAAGAGGACTCTGTGAGGGTCCTTGGTTGTAGTTTTGTTTAGTGTCCTGGTTTTCTTGAATGCTGGTTGTACTAGCAGTAAGGTTGTCATGTGTACTGACTCTGGACCTCTGGGTAGCCAGGATGTTATAGGCGGTTGAATTAGCTGTTTTCTGTTTTCTTGGGTCATGGTTGTTCTTTTATTAGTTGCTGTAGTGGCTTGAATTGATTGGCCTCCAGCCAGGAGGTGGTGCTTTCAAGAGAGCATCAGCTGCAGTAGTATAGGGGGGATACAAGCTTGCTCTGAGGTCACTTGGATACGTATTTGGGTTTCTCAAGGAATGGCTGGGGCCATAGAGCTCCCAAGAGATTATGCTTTTTGTCTTCAGCTACCAGGGCAGGTAGGGAAAGACCATCAGCAGGGGGCAGGGTTAGGCATATCTGAGCTCAGACTGTCCTTGTGTGGGGCTTGCTCCAGCTGGTGTGGGAGATGGGGGTATGGTTCTCAGGCCCATGGAGTTATGTTCCCAGGGGGATTATGGTGCTTCTGCTGCAACATACAGGTTACTGTGAAAGTGGGGGAAAGCTGCCAGTGACAGGTCTAACCCAGCTACCACACAGCCAACAAGGCCAGTCTCTTTCCCACCGTGCCCCACTAATACCATCGAGTTTATATCCAGGCAGCTGTGAGCAGAGTTGAGATCTTGTCCCTCAACGATTATTTTTATTTATTTATTTTGAGACAGAGTCTCGCTCTGTTGCCCAAACTGGAGTGCAGTGGTGCGATCTCAGCTCACTGCAACCTCCACCTCCCAGGTTCAAGCAATTCTCCTGCCTCTGCCTCCCGAGTAGCTGGGATTACAGGCACATGCCACCATGCCTGGCTAATTTTTGTATTTTTAGTAGAGACAGGGTTTCGCCATGTTGGCCAGGCTGGTCTCGAGCACCTGACCTCAGGTGATCTGCCTGCCTTGCCTCCCAAAGTGCCAGGATTACAGTTGTGAGCCACAGCTCTCGGCCTATTATTTTTAAATTATATATTTCTCTTTCCTTTTGTCAAGTTTTGCTTTATGTATTTTGTGGTTCTATCGCATGAGTTATCATTGTTAAATCTTCCTGATGCGTTCATCTCTTTAACATTGTGAAATGTCTCTCCTTGTTGCATAACATTTTTGTCTTAAACTCTTGTCTGCTATTAATATAGGTGTTCATGATCTCTTACAGTTTTGTTTGCATGGCATACATTTTCCTGTCTTTTTAATTTCATCCTATCTGCGTCTTTGAATCTAAAGTGTGTCTGTTAGATGTCATGTAGTTGGATCTTGCTTTTTAAACCTGTCTAGCAGTTTGTCTTTTAGTTGGAGTATTTAGACCATTCAAATTTAACATAATTATTGTTGGGTTTACCTTTGCCATTTGGCTATTTGTTCTGTGTAAATCTCCTGTCTTTTTTGTTTCTCTCTTCTTCTTTGATTGCGTTTGAGTTAAAAAATGTTTAGTATATCATTTTAATACCTTCATCAATAATTTAACTTTTAAAAAAAGTTTTTTCATAATTTCTAGGAATGATAGTAAGCATTTTAATTTACCACAATCTACTTCAGATAATACTAACTTAATTTCAGTAAAATTTAAAATCTTTGCTCCAATATAGTTCTGTTCCTTCCCTCCTATTTGCTGTTATTGGCATGTGTGTTATCTGTGTATATGTTAAGAACTCGACAATATAGTGTTATAGTTATTGCTTTATACAATTTTATGTTCTTCAAAGTAGTTAAGAAATGAGAAAAATTGTAGAATCTTTCATACCAATTAATATATTTACACTTTCTGATGCTGTTTATTTCTCCCTGATTATTCATGTCACTGTCTACAGTCTTTCAGTCTGTTCTTCTTTTAGTATTTTTACAAAGCAAGTCTGTTAGCAATGAATTTTCTCAGCCTTTGCTTATCTGGGAATGTCATTTTTAGCTTTCATTTTTGGAGGATAGTTTTGTTGGATTATGGAATTCTTGTTTTTTCATTTTAGCACTTTGAATATGACATTTTACTGTCTCTGTCTTCCATTGTTTCAGATGAGAAATCAGCCATTAATCATACTGATTTTTTTCCCTGTACAGTGTGATAAGTAGTTTTTTTCTTGCTGCTGTCAAGATTTTACCTTGATCTTATGTTTTCTTTGTTGTTTATATATTCATTTATTATTATTTTTTTCTTTCCAACTTTTATTTTAGGTTCGGGGGTGCACATGCAGGTTTGTCATACAGGTAAATTGCATGTCATGGGGATTTGGTGTATAGATTATTTTGTCACTGAGGTGGTGAGCATAGTACCACCCAGTTGGTAGGTTTTTTATCCTCATCCTTCCCCACCCTACACCCTCAAGTGGGCTCCAGTGCCTATTGTTCCCTTCTTTGTGCCCATGTGCACTCAATGTTTAGCTCCCCTTATAAGTGAAAACATGCAGTATTTGGTTTTCTGTCCCCATGTTAATTTGCTTAGGATAATGGCCTCCAGCTCCATCCATGTTGCTGCAATGGACGTAATCTCATTCTTTTTTATGGCTGCATAGTATTCCATGGTGTATATGTACTATATTTTCTTCATCCAGTCCACTGTTAATGGGTATCTAGGTTGATTCCATGTCTTTGCTATTGTGTGTAGTGGTGCAGTGAACATATGAGGGCATGTGTCTTTATGGTAGAACTGTTAGTCCAAACTGTACCATTTTGTAAGCCCCCTGTCATTTCACAGACCTTGATCAAAGTGAAGCATTCCTTGGGGGACTGGGCCGTGAGAAACATCCTGCCCGACTGCCTGACTTTCTTATCACATTCTGCTGGGAAAAAGTCCAAGGAACATCACTGTCTCATCCTGCCAGATCAAGGACCAAACCGCCTCATCATGGGAACATCTTATCAACATCCTCCCGGGCAGCAAGCCATATCCCTCAGACCCCTCCCTCCCAGGCCTAAAATTGCCCCAGCCTGTAAGGAGAGGTGGGCCCTGGCATTAAGTTGGTGCCCTGCCTCTGCAGATCTTATGCTGCACATAAAACCTGCATTGCTGTAGAGCTGCCAACTCTCTCTCAGTCTTTCTTTAACCCTCGCCTTCACATAAAAACCTAACAAAAGCAATTCATATTCCTTTGGGTTTGTATTTAGTAATGGTATTGCTGGATCAAATGGTAGTTCTGTTTTAAGTTCTTGAGAAATCTCCAAACTGCTTTCCACAGTGGCTGAACTAATTTGCATTCCCAACAGCAGTGTATAAGCATTCTCTTTTATCTGCAGCCTCACCAGCATCTGTTATTTTTTGACTTTTTAATAATGGCTATTCTGACTGGTACAAGATGGTATCAAGCATATTAAAAAATGGTCAACATCACTAATCATTAGAGAAATGCAAATCAAAACCACAATGAGATACCATTTCACACCAGTCAGAATGACTATTTTTATGCTTTCAACAGTTTCACTCTGGTGTGTGTATATGTGAATATTTTTGTATTTATTTGGCTTGAGACTTTTTGAGCCTCTTGGGTCCATAAATTAATGGGTTTTTGTTGTTGTTGTTGTTGTTGTTGTTGTTGTTTTAATCAAACTTGTGAGGTTTTCAGCCATGGTTTCTTCTTATGTTCATTTTCCCCTTTGTGTCTCTCGTTTCCTATGAAAACTCCTATCATCCAAATGTGGGTACCCTTGATCATGTTACACAGGTCTCCAAAGCACTGTACATTTTTTTTCCTTCTTTTTTTATTTTCATCAGCTGGTTTATCTCAGTAGATCTACAAGTTTTCTTATTTTTTTCATCTGTCTGCACAAGTCTGCTATTGAACTTTTCTGGCGAATTTCTCATTCCAGTCATTGCACTTTCCAAATCTAGGATTTCTATTTGGTTTCTTAAACAAAAAAAAATCATTTCTGTCTCTTTATTGGTAGTCTCTCTCGTAAGACATCCTTGTTATACTTCCCTTTAATTTAAATATGATTTCCTTTAGTTTTTTGAACATATTTATATTAGCTGACTCAAAGTTGTTGCCTAGTAAGTTCAACATCTGGGCTTCCTCAGGAATAAATTCTATTGACTACTTTTTTTTCACATAGATGGATCATACTTAACTATTTCTTTGTGTGTCTCATAATTATTTTGTCAAAAACATTATATTTTAAATATTATAATGTGACAACACTGGTAATCAGACTTTTCCCTTCCCCTATCCCTGGGGTTTGTTGTTTTTGTTGTTGTTTGTGAACTTCCTGGACTATTTCTGTAGTCTTTAATCTGTATCTTGTATAGACACTGAAGTGTTTGTTTGAATGTCTGAGTCACAAATAGTGATTTGACAGATTTTCTTAAATGCTTTAAACCAGCATGTCTCCCATCATTTTCCAAGGGGTGCTGTGTATGTTGGGGCATGCTTTCCATACCCCAGCAGTTCACAACTCTGCCTTAGCCTTCACTTCCTGCTTTGTGCAGAGTCTCAGAGTCAAGGAAAAGTTAGAGAGTGGAGCTCTGTCAGGTCTTTAGTGGGCATTTGCTTAGCCCTCCACATGCACATGGCCTTCTATATCCCCAGTAATATTTTAGAAATTTTCAAAGCCCTCTAAGGACATCTCATTTCCCAAATTTTCCTTTTAAGTTTTTTGGCCAGTCTCTTGTTTGCCTCTGCTAAAATTGCTGCTTCTGGCAGCTGCAAGATTAACCAAATACTACTGATTTTTTTGGACAAACTCCCTGCGCATAGGGCTTTTTACACTGAGTGAGTTCTTGAGTCAGGTGAAATAAAGATTAGCCTGTGAATAGGGCTTTTCTCGGGGCACCAGACAGGTCACATAGTGACAGTTCTCTGGGGATGAGGTTTTGGCCGAGAGCTGCTTTTGTAGCCAGGCTGCTGGCATTCACAGTTACTGTGGTTCTGAGGCTGCTGGTTTCCAAAGCTACTATGAAACTGGGAAGAGGTACATGGAAATTGAGAATGAGGCAGGTTAAAACACCGGAAAGCTCAGCATTTTTACTAAGATTCAGCTACTTTTCTTAAATAGATGTTCAGGATTGTCAAAAATCTTTGATTAAATTTTGGAGTTCTGAAAAAGTTAATTTTGACAATTTTGCCAGTTGTCTAATTGCTTTGTGGAGAAGTGAATTTTTAGAAATCCCTCATCCACCGTTCCAGAAGTGCCTCTCAATCTGCCTGTGCTTTTAATCCCTATGCATATTGCCTTTCTATTTGATATCTGTATAATGGCCTATAAATATTTATTGGCAGCCATGAAAGTCCACTGTTTGATTTCATTGAGAGTTGCTTGCGAAATAAACATGAAATGGTTATTTATGAAGCTGCTTCAGCTATCATCCATCTTCCCAACTGCACTGCAAGAGAGTTGGCACCTGCTGTTTCAGGTTTGTTTTATATTTGATGACTGGCTTTTGCTTGTGTTCCTAAGTTTTTGCTTTAAGTTTCATAGGTCTGCAGAATAGGTGTTAAGACTGTTTTTTGAATGCCAGCTCTGTGTATATATAGCCTTTGCATTCTGATAGCTTATATGTAAATAGTTTATTTTAGTTGTTTCTTACTTTATTACTTCTTTTTTTAATGTTTCTATTTATGTATATAAAACTTCTGAAAGAATTTTATTTATATGTACATAGTTTATTAATAATAATTCTTTATTGCTTTTTTTTAAAGTTTCTATTTCCTCATATGAAACTTTTGAAAACATTTTACAGTTTTCCTTGGTGTTTAAAAAGCCCATTTGTTTTCAGAACTGTCAATATTTCTACCATTTAAGTTCAAGTATTAATGGGTATGCTAATTTTTTTAAAAAAAGAGCAAACTTTGTTTCCTATTAAAGTTTTTATAAGTGACTAAAAGTGCTTTTTCTTTTTTTTTTTTTTTTTTTTTTTTGAGACGGAGTCTCGCTCTGTCGCCCAGGCTGGAGTGCAGTGGTGCAATAGCTTGGCTCACTGCAAGCTCCGCCTCCTGGGTTCACTCCATTCTCCTGCCTCAGCCTCCCGAGTAGCTGGGACTACAGGAACCCCAAAAGTGCTTTTTCTATTTTGATAAATTTATATTTTTCATGTAAATTTTTTATGCTGTGATAAAATCTACGCATATTTTGAATGTGATTCGTTATGTACTATATTTTCAGCTATATGGTATATGATGAGATGAGGAATATTCACAGCATATATAGGTAATATTCACTATATCTATATCTGTATTTTAGTTCTTCAACTTTTCTGTAGTTCTCCTAAGCCAGGAGTATTCACAGTATGTATATGTAATATTATATATTATTTTTATTTTTTAGTTCTTCAGCTTTTCTGTAGTTCTCCTAAGCCAGCCTTGAGATATGCAGCTGTGAGGACCTTGAACAAGGTAGGTGTTTCTTTGCTAACTGTTGACTTACATCAGTATTTAATTGAGAAACATTAAATGTGAAGCATTTGATTTTCTCTCCAAGGTTAGTATATATGATTCATGGGCTTCACCTCTACAACACTTCACTTACATTTGTGGCCTTGGGAATGCCCATTTTTATTATTATTTAGCTGAAGATTATAACTCATTCCTGACTTCTAAGCATTTTATATTCAAAAGCCACACTGTGCAATATGGTGGCCATTAGCCATCAGTGGTATTTCAATTTAAATTAATTAAAATAAAATAAAAAAATCAATCCTCAGTCACATGAGTCACACTTCTTGTACTCACAGCTACATGTGGTCAGTGGCTATTGGAGAGTGCAGATCTTGAACATTTCTGTCATTGAAGGAAGTGCTTTTGCACAGTGCTGGCAGTAGCCCTGTCCAGTAGAAACCCAATGTGAATCACATATATAATTTTAAATTTTATAATAACCACATAAAAGTTTTTAAGGTAAAATTAATTTTAATAGTATATTTTATCATAATATGTCATCTCAACATGTAATAGATATTTTTACATATCTCAAGTTTTTGACATCCAGTATATTTACATTTATAGCATACTCAGTTTGGATTAGCCACCTTTCAGATGCTTAGTAGTCACATGTTGCTGTCGGCTACATTATTAGACTGTATAGATTTAGAGGATATAATACAGAAACACAGAATAAATTAAATAAGCATAGAAAATGTAAATGAAAGTTAAATGTAGTAGAAGACTTGTCATAGGCAATACATAATTATAAATTAATTGTGTAAACAATTGAAGAAAAGAGAAGTTTAGAGCAGCCATGGAATAAACCTTTATAGAACAACAATTTAAATTGTTTTTAATTTATTTATTTATTTTGGAGACAGAGTCTCACTTTGTCTCCCAGGCTGGAGTGCAGAGGCGTGATCTCGGCACACTGCAACCTCCACCTCCCAGGTTCAAGCAATTCTCATGCCCCAGCCTCCCAAGTAGCAGGGATCACAGGTACCTGCCACCATGCCCAGCGAATTTTTGTATTTTTAGTAGAGTCAGGGTTTCGCCATGTTGGCCAGGCTGGTCTCAAACTCCTGACCTCAGGTCATCTGCCCACCTCGTCCTCCCAGAGTGCTGGGATTATAGGTGTGAGCCACCAGGGCCTAAATTGTTTTTAAAGAGTTGATACAGGTCCACAATCCCTCATCTCTAATCTTGGGGCCAGATGTGTCTCAGAATTTGCTTTTAGATAAATTTTAGAAAGGTTATATGGTATTATATCTTATTTACTAACCCTAGTGGGCCTGGGGCAGCATCCCACCATTAAAACACATTAATATTTTTGCACAAAACATATGACTGTTCTTGTCAAGTGGTACAAATTAACAATTAAAGAGTTTCACATTAGTTTGGGTCATGTTTTGCTGTTAAATAAATTTTCATCCCAATGCTTTGCTTTCCAGAGTTTTTTCAGATTTTCCAAATTGTGGGTAAGGGATTCTATACCAATACTGGGATAGACAAAAAGATGGAACAACATCAACAAAAACAAGGACACAGGAGAATGGCCGACTATGTAGTAACCATAGATAATGCAGTTTGGCTGGAGTTTGCGTGTTGAAAGGCAGAAGTATTTTTTAAGTGCTAAGATATTAACAGTCTTTGTCGAGCACTGTCTACTATGCTAGATCCCGTTCTGTGCTCCTAACATCTAATAGACATATATGAACACATGTACTATAAGGAAATACAGGCCAATTATAATTTTTTAAAAATGGTAATGTTAGAAAGGTTATAGGAACCTAACAAAAGAGAGTACGATGCTATACTCTGGCTGTTGATCATTTATTAAAAGATATACCTTGTTAACTGGAGCCATTCTTTTTGAAACAATGACTTCTAACTTATCCTGTCCTCTTTGGATTGCCAGTTACCTCAATTAAAATTTAAGTTCTGGCCTTTATCAAAAGCAATTTGCGTAATTTTTTTTCTTACCCTTCCACAAGGTGGCAATGAAGCACCCCTCTGCTGTTACTGCCTGCAATCTGGACTTAGAAAACTTAATCACAGACTCAAACAGAAGCATTGCTACCTTAGCCATTACTACACTCCTCAAAACAGGAAGTGAGAGCAGTGTGGACAGGCTCATGAAGCAGATATCTTCTTTTGTGTCTGAAATCTCAGATGAGTTCAAGGTAAGAGTTTAAACATGATCATGTTTTCTCCCAGTCTGTTGGCTGCCTATTTATTTTCTTAACAGTGTCATTTGAGAAGCAGAAGTTTTAAATTTTTATGAAGTCTAATTTATCAATTTTTTTCTTTCATAGTTATTACTGTTCCCTAAGAAACCTTTATCTACTTATTTTCTCATGCTTTAGGCTAAATGCTTTATGGTTTTAGATTTTACATTTTAGGCGGTGATCCAAGTTGAATTACTGTTTGGTAAGTTCAGTATTTTTTCCATACCGCTATCTACTGTATTCCGCCATAATTTGTTGGAAAGACTTCCTTTTTTCTGTTGGAGTGCTTTGGCACCTTTGTCTACAAAGCAAATACCCGTATAATTTTAGGTATATTTTTGGGCTTCTTATCATGTTACTGAACTGTTTGTCAATCCAGTACCATTACCACACTAATATTGATTAATGTAGCATTATGGTACCTCTTAAATGTCAAGTAGTGTGGTCTTCCAACTTTTTCTTTTTTAATATTCTGGTTCCTTTGCATTTCCTATGAAATTTAGGACTAGTTTATCAATCTCTACTAAACAAAGCCTACTAGGATTATGACTAGGATTGTGTTGAATCTCTAAATCAATCTGGGGAGAACTGACATCTTAATTTATTATTTTTCTATTTCATGAATATGGTATATCTCTCCCTTTAGACCTTTAATTTCTCTGAGCAGTGTTTTGTAGTGTTTACTCTAGAGGTCTTGCAAGTCTCTTGTTAAGTTTATATCTAAATATTTATGCTTTTGATATTTTATTAAAATTTTTTATTGTTTACTACTAATGAAAAACTTTTAAAAAATACTTTTCCATATTAACTTGGTATCCTGTAACCTTGCTGAGTACCTTTACTGGTTCTAGTCATCATTATACACATTCCTTGAGATTATCTATATAATCTATATAAATAATTATGCCATTTGTGAATAGAAACAGTTTTACTTCTTTATATCCAATCCAAATGCCTTTCCTTTATTTTTCTTGGCTAATTAAAAAAGTACTTCCAGAACAGGGTTGTATAGAACTGGTGAGAGTATGTCAGAGATGATAAAAAAAAATAAATTTCAGTTAAAAGAATAAAAGTAGAAACATTGTATTGCTTCATTCTTTCTTTATACTCAGTCAAGTAGTATAACTAACCCTATTTACTCTCTACTTAGTATGCATCCAGACTTTCAGAAAACAAACTTTACCTGTATATTCAAGCAGACAGTTTTGTGCATCTGGTGTAGCAGTTGCTTGTTCCAGTTTTTTCAAATTGCTTTTGTAGGAGTAAGTTTTTTCCTAAAGACATATATTTTGTTATTGAGATACCTTGACTTTGATTTTGACTGCCTGTGGTAGTGGGATCTTTGTGTGACCTCTTGAGCAGTACACAGGGTCAGTGGTATCTGATTCCTCAGTGACTTAGGGTACAGGCATTAGTTGAGGTCGTGGTGAAGTTTAGCTGGGGACCTAGAAACATAGTCTTTGGGCTCCAGTAGTGCCAGCAGTGCACCACGTGTGCCTATTTTTAGGCCCAGCTTACATTGGCTCCAGTGTTGGTGGGTACAAGAGGGCTATCCTTGGGCCTCCACGTGGCTTGCTAGAAACAAATATTGAGAGCAATGAGCCCAGTGTGTGAGTGGGTTCTTCGGCCCTTGGCAGCTGGTGTGGTGTGGGTGATGGGCACTAGTGGTGTTGGAGCAACCCACAGGGTCACAAGCAGTCTGTGTTGGTATTGGTAGAAGCTGCAATGGATTGGATAGGCTAGGTCCCAGTCCCACAACTGCCTGTAGCAGGGTGGTGAGTATTATGCTAAGTGTGTTTAGGAGAGCTTGTTATCCCCGTCCCTCCCCCAGTTGGGTGACAGCTGCAGCCACATCATCATCATCTCAAACTCAGCCTGAGGGTGGGGCGTAGCCCAGCTTTAAACTCTCAAAATGATGCCAGCTGTGGGCTTGTGACTAGAAAGGGTGGGGACCCTTCAGGTGAGCAGCATGGGCAAGAAGCTGTGGGGAGTGTGGTCCGCTTGGGGCTTGGTCTCACAGCAGCCCATTGAAGAACATTGGATATTGTCCTAACTATGCATGGGGGAACCTGGCTTTCCTAGTCCCTCCTTTGACCAAGTGGTGGCTGCAGCCACATCAACTTGAACTCAACCCAAGGTGGGGCACAGCCAGCATTAAACTCTCAAAATCGTGCCATGGACCAGGGAGCAGAGAGGGAGGGGTCCCTCCCAGGTATGCAGTGTGGGCAAGAAGCTGTGAGAAGTGTGGTCTGGTCACACGTCAGTCTGACAGCTCCCTGCTACAGAGCAGTGAGTATGATCCTAGATATGTATAGGATAGCCTGGTTTCCCTGCCCTCCTTGGCCAAGTAGCAGCTACAACTGCATCAGCCCTAACTCAGGTCGAGGGCAGGGCGCAGCCCAGTGTTAAACTCTCAAAATGGCACCTTGGGGCCGGGACCAGAGAGGGTGTGGCACCTCCCAGGCAACCAGTGTGGGCAAGAAGCGGTGAGGAGAGCAGTCTGCTCACATCTCAGTCTCACGGCATCCTGCTGCAGGGCAGTAGATATTGTCGTAATGATGCATAGGGTAGCAGATTTATCCTAATGCATATCCTAATTTATCCTATGTGTATCCTAATGATGCATAGGACAGCATTTTTAGGATAATACCTACTGCCCTGCAGCAGAAGGCTGTGAGACTGAGATCTCCCTGTCCCTCCTTGGCCAGGCAGTGGCTGCAGCTATGCACAAGACTAATTTAAAATGTCAGGCAAAGGAGTTACAAGTTTTGGAGGCAGTCTTTGTGGTGGTGAAGAGAATGACCTTTAGAATCAAAATCCCTAGGTTTAAATCCTGATTTTACCACTTATGAGATATGTGACCTCAGGTGAGTCACATAAATTCTTACTGCCTCAGCTTCCTTAGCTGTACAATGGAGATAATAATAGTACTTACCTCATAGAGTTATTGTGAAGTATAAATGAAATAATAAAGAATTAAGAATAATATATGTGTCATTATTATTATTTTATGTATGTGTAGTATGGAAAGAACTGCTAGTTCATAATTGATCTTTTAACGTCTGCACACAGAATAGTTGAATATTGACTAAGTGGGTTATTTCTTCCTTGTTTTCAGTGCAGTTATATAAATCTCTTGAAATACAGATAGATTTGTTTCAGTTTGCTTTCGGTTTTATATTTTTCCCCTTCCCATCTTTTTTCTTTTTTTTTTTTTTTTGAGACAGGATCTCACTGTGTCACCCAGGCTGGAGTACAGTTGCATTATCATAGCTCATTGCGGCCTCAACCTCCCTGGGCTCAGGTGATCCTCCTGCCTTAGCCTCCCAAGTAGCTGAGACTACAGGCACAAGCCACCATGCCTGACTAATTTTGCATTTTTTGTAGAGACAGGGTTTCACCATTGGGAGAAAGGCAAAAGGATTGATTGTCCAGGCTGATCTTGAGCTCCTGAGCTCAAGCTGTTCACCCGCCTCAGCCTCCTAAAGTGCTGGGATTATAGGCATAAGCCACCATGCCCAGCTGCATTTTCCCTATTTTCTATAGGATTTTTAGTCTTTTGTTTCCTTAATTTTTTTGTATTTCAGGATATTAGCTCTTTACCTGTGAAAGATGTTACGAGTATTTTCTACTGGTTTGTCATTTAACTTTTCTTATGATGTCTTTTGTCATGCAAAAGTGTTATTTTTTTTAGGTAGTCATATTTGCCAGCCTTTTATTTTATTTGACTTTGAGTCATAATTAAAAATTTATTCCCTTCAAAGTATAGAGTAATTCACTCATGTTCTCTTCTAATACATTTATAGTTTCGTATTTTACATTTAGATCTCTGGTCCGTTGAAATTTTTTATTATATATGCTATGAACAGATTCAATCTTACCCTTTTCCATTGACTACCCAGTTAGTTGCCCCCCAAAATTTTATTTAAGGCCAGGTGTGGTGGCTCACACCTTGAATCCCAGGACTTTGGGAGGCCGAGGCAGGGGCATACTTGAGTCCAGGAGTTCAAAACCAGCCTGGGCAACATAGTGAGACCCTGTCTCTACAAAAAAAATACAAAAATTAGTCAGACATGGTGGTGTACACCTATAATCCCAGTTACTTGGGAGGCTGAGGTGGGAGGATGGCTTGAGCCTGGGAGGTTGGGGCTGCAGTGAGCTGTGATGATGCCACTGCACTCTGTCCTGGGCAACAGAGCAAGATCTTGTGTATTAGTCTGTTGTCACACTACTATAAAGAAACACCTGAAACTGGGTAATTTATAAAGAAAAGAGGTTTAATTGGCTCACAGTTCTGCAGGCTGAACAGGAAGCATGGCAGCGTCTGCTTCTGGGGCAGCCTCAGGGAGTTTTTACTCATGGTGGAAGGCAAAACAGGAGCAGATGTCTTACAAGGCAGAAGCATGACCAAGGGGGGTGCGGAGGGGTGTCACACACTTTTAAATGACCAGATCTTACAAGAACTTACTATCACGAGAACAGCACAAGCAGGGAAATCTGCCCCCATGATCCAGTCATCTCCCACCAGGCCCCACCTCCAACATTGGCAATTACAATTCAACATGAGATTTGGGTGGGGACACAGATCCAAACCATATTACCTTAACTCAAAAAAAAGTTATTTTCATTTTTTCTATAGACAATTAGGGGAAAGCTGAAAGAAAATTTTTAAGACCATCTTTGCCCCAATAATTTGAGACATCATCTTTATCATATGTACCTGAGTTTGTATGTTTATACAAACTCAAAAAAGTTGCATACGTACTTGAGTCTGTTTCTGGAGTGTCTATTCTACTTATATATTGGTCTGTTTATTCATATACTACTGCTACACTCTGTTCTAAATATAGAAGCTTCGTAGGACGCTTAGCCCTCCATCATAGTTCTTTATTTTCATTGTTTTCCTGGCTATTCTTGCATGTTTCTTTTTCTTTTTTTTTTTTTTTTTTTGAGATGGAGTTGCATTCTTGTTGCCCAGGCTAGAGTGCAATGGCTTGATCTTGGCTAACTTCAACCTCCCCCTCCCAGGTTTAAGCGATTCTCCTGCCTCAGCCTCCCACGTAGCTGGGATTACAGGCACCCACCACCACGCCCAGCTAATTTTTTGTATTTTTAGTGAAGACAGAGTTTCACCATGTTGTCTAGGCTGGTCTCGAGCTCCTGACCTCAGGTGATCCACCCGTCTTGGCCTCCCAAAGTGCTGGGATTACAGGCGTGAGCCACTGTGCCTAGCCACATGTTTATTTTTCTAATGAACTTTAGTATCAAGCTGTCTAGCTTCATAAAAAACCTTGTTGACATTTTCTGTTGGGATCACATTAAATTCATAAGTTAGGGGAGAACACATATCCTGATGATTTTTGAACATCCTAAGAACAAGGATGTCTTTTAATTTGTTCAAATCTGCTTTTATGCCTTTCAAAAATGTTGTTTAAAAATATTTTTATATTAGTTTTGAATGGTTTTAAAATGCTTATTTCTAAATAATTTACCTTTTTCATTGCTATTATAAATGTTTTTTATTCCATTTTATCTTCTACCTGGCTATCATTTATGTATATAAATATTACTGGTTTTGCATGTTAATTTTATATCCTGCTACCTTGGTGAATTATTGAGTTAGTTTTATTATTTATTCTCTAGGGTTTTCATATATACCATCATGTCATCTAAAAACAAACATATTTTTGTTTGTTTTGTCTTCTGCAATTCTTGTTTCTTTGTTTTCCCTTATCTAATTGCATTGGCTAATATCTCCAGAATAATGCTAAATAATTATGGAGATAGTGGCATCCTTGCATCACTTCTGACCTCAATGGGAATGCCTCTCAGGGTTCCGTATTAAGTAATATGCTGGCATTAAGATTGAAGTATATATGTTTACCTTATGGACATATCTATTCCTTTTTTTTTTCAAGAATATTTATTAGGAATGGATGTTGGATTTTATCAAAGACTTTTCAGCATTTTGGATATTATCCTCTGACTCATGAATGTGATGTTATTTTATCAATTTTCTAATGCAGAACCATCTTTACATTCTTGATAAACCCCATTTCATCACAGTGCATTATTTCTTTAATGTAGTGTTAGAATCTGTTAACTAATATATTACTTTTAGAATTTTTACATCAATATTTATAAATGATTTTAGTCTGTAATTTTTCTTTCTGTACATATATGCCATCTTTATTAGGCTTAAGTATCATTGCTTCATACAAACATTATGGAGATTTTCTTTGCTCTGAAACTGTATATATGGATTTGGGGTTATCCAATTATTGGTAGACAATTCTGAATTATTCATGCGTCTCTTTTCTGCACATCTTGCAAGTTAGGCACTAACTGCCGTCTGTTTCCTGCTATCACAGCTGTGTTCCCTTCCCATAATATAAGATATCTTCCAGCCTTAGAAGATAGAGATCGTGTCTCCCTCTAAAGGAAAGGGAAGATTTCCTTGCAGCCCCAGAAAATACTAATAGTATTTGGAGCAAAAAGCCCTTTGGAGCAAAAAGCAAACATGTTTATGGTCCAATATAATAATGTTTTTCTTCAGAAAAAAGGACAGGCATGCTTACTCCCCACTGTAAATGTTCAGATTCCATCTTTAGGGTTCTTATCCGGTAATGCAGCCTACTGCAAGACCAGGTATTATCTGGCTCTTTGCATTGCACTTTGGGAATTTTGGGGCTCAGGAAACCCACCCCAAAATGCTCATACTCTGGCTACTGCTACTGCTGTGAGTAGTTAACTGTCTTTCATCGCTGAGCCAGGAGTCTCCTGTTTTCTACCAGCATCCATGAAATTGTGACAGGTTAACTTGTTAGCCACAAGTAGGGTAAAATCTCACATTCTTCATGCATCTTGACACAGGTCTGTATTTTTATTTTATTTATTTTTTGAGACAGAGTCTGTCTGTGTCACCCAGGCTGGAGTGCAGTGGTGCATTTCAGCTCACTGCAACCTCCGCCTCCCAGGTTCGAGCAATTCTCATGTCTCAGCCTCCCCAGGTAGCTGGGACTTGCAGGCCCATGCCACCACACCCGGCTAATATTTGTATTTTTTTAGTAGAGACAGTATTTCACCATATTGGTCAGGCTGGTCTCGAACTTCTGACCTTTGGTGATCCACCCACCTTAGCCTCCCTAAGTGCTGGGATTACAGGGCGTGAGCCACCGTGCCTGGCTGACACTGGTCTTTCAAGTTGTGGTAAAATTCCCCTGGAAAGCATTTTGTGAAGTAGTTCCTTGATAGCTTTCTCTATTTCTTCTATGGAAATCAGTCTGTTCAAGCTTTTTATCTTTATAGTTCACTTTAAAATCTTTGATGTGATTATTTGTCTAAGGCAAAGGGAAGGGATCTCTTGAATGAACTTTATTTTTACATTGCTTTTTATTTTCCTTTGTGGTCTCCTTGGTTATCTTCCATGAAGAACAAGTATTGTCATTTTAGGCAACTACAGTGTCTTCTTAGCTTGCAGTAAGTAAGTAGGAAAGTATGTTTAGTAGCCAAAGTTATAAAGATGAATGTCTTTTCTGTGCTTGCTTTTGATAGGTGGTGGTTGTACAGTCATAAAAGTGAATATTCTTTTTGTTTTTCTACAGGTGGTGGTTGTACAGGCAATTAGTGCTCTCTGTCAGAAATACCCTCGAAAGCACAGTGTCATGATGACTTTCCTCTCCAACATGCTCCGAGATGATGTAGGTAGACTACTTTTTAATCGTAGGAAGTTGCTCTCTTAAATTCTTAGGATTGCCATGAAATACCATAGTGTTTTAAGGAGATTTCTTTATCATCTCAGTATGCCTCTCAAGTAGTACACTAAGTCTGGTTACTGTCTTATTAATAAACATGCCATTGCTTTACTTTCCCCACTTGGAGAAAAACCACTTTTTTGTTTCAAAAAGGTGGGAAATGAAATCTGAATTTTATAAGCATGAACCTTGGCGTGTAAGCATTTCGCCAAAACGTGTCCCTAGAATGAATGGCAGTTTTATCTTCTTTTTTGCCAGGGAGGCTTTGAGTACAAGCGGGCCATTGTGGACTGCATAATCAGCATTGTGGAAGAGAACCCTGAGAGTAAAGAAGCAGGCCTAGCCCACCTTTGTGAATTCATTGAGGACTGTGAACACACTGTTCTGGCTACTAAGATTCTACACTTGTTGGGCAAAGAGGGCCCTAGAACGCCTGTCCCCTCCAAATATATCCGCTTTATTTTTAATAGGGTTGTCCTGGAGAATGAGGCTGTCAGAGCTGGTGAGTCATTGGGACACTGATATTGATGATGCTGATCTTTTGAAATACTTAGGAGAGTAATAATGAAATTGAAAAATGAAGTTGCAGGATCTGTTAGATGGTGGGATTTTTAGAGCATGCTTAGGGCCCAGATATCTTTCTATGTACTCAATTTCCATCCTCATTTTTGCCTTAGATTAGAGACAAATAACCCTTCGCTTTCAGCATGATAGGAATACTGTGATGGCTCATCCGTTTTTTTCAGTTATAGTCATAATTATGAATGTTTGTAGAATTTGTTTATGTGTTTCTATATGTATATTTTTAAGTGACTTTTCCTCCCTAATCTTTCTTCCCCTTAGCATATGAATAGATCCAAATCTCTCCCATTAAAGATGTAAACTCTCTATAAGCCTTTCACTAGCTACTGACGCTATACTTTCCTTCCCCTCGTAGATAAACTGGAAGTAGCCGTTATTAGCTGCCTGCATGAATTCATTATCCGTTTTTCTCTTTAACTCAGTGTGATGTAGCTCTCCTTTAAAAAACCTCTGAAGTAATTTTACTGAAAATTACTTATAAACTAGTTGTAAAATCAAGTTAGATACTTTAATGTTCTTATCTTTGTTTACACTCAGTCCACTTGATGTGCTATTGACTGAACACTTGGTGAAACCCTGTAACCTTGGTTTCCACAATAGCCTACATGTTTCCATCACTCCTCACTCTTATTTATAGAGCTCTTCTTCCCAGCCCCCTTCCTTGAAATATTAGTTCTCTCTAGGGTTTTGACTTCTCAACATCTACATTCTTCTTGGTGATCATTTTCAGAGCTCTACTGATAGGCTATGACATTCCAGTCATGTCTCTTTCCTGAACTTGTTTGTCCAAATAACTTAAAGCACTTCAAATTCAGCCTGAAATTCAAACTAACCTCACATTCATCATCCACTCAGTTATCAAGATAGAATCTTGTTCTGCTGCCTTACAGCCCCTATCTGTTCTGTAGCAAAGTGCTTTCAATTGTGTCTCTTTAATATTTCTTCGTTCTCTCTTCTATTTTCATGGTGCTGATTGAGGCTGTCATCATTTCAGATGCCTAACTATCTGACTGCTTCTAGACTCACATATATCTAGCCTATTCTTTACACTCTGCTAAAAAAAGGAGGGGACTTTCAAATATACATATTTATCTCATATTTAATATCCTTTAATAATGAGATTAAACCATACCCTAATTTTGTTTTATTTCCAGTCTCTCCCTTGTCTCTTCTTGCTCTCCAACATGGGTCCTATGCTCAGCCTTCCCCAGCTGTCCAGTAATATACCACACTTTCTTCTCTGGGCAGTGGCCATTCGAACTTGTTATTTTCCTCTGCCTCTAATCCTACTCTTATCCTGCCTTTTTCCTCTGGCTAACAGTACTTGTTCTTCAGATTTTAGCTCAAGTAATATGTGTTAGCTCCTTGTCTTAGTTTTCCACCACCAATTCTGATTTAGTTCCTTTCTGTGTATTCACATAGCATCCTGGATATATTTCTTCCATGGACTTACTATGATGTGCCATAATTCTCTCTCTACATACCTATCTTTCCCACTAGAGTATAGCTCCTTGAGATCAGGGACATGTCTTTTATCTGCCCCAGTACCTAGCACAATTCCTGATAAAAGTTTGGTGAACAATGAATTTTTGTTGAATGAGAGGAATTTTAATAATAGAACTTCTTTTTGTGCTTGGGGCTGGTTGTTTGAGATTAAAGCTTAATCACATCAGTGTGATATATAAGGGGTTGTGGTGGGGTGGAGATATAGCTCCTACAGAAAATCTATATGAATCTTTTTCCTCAATTCTTGGAAGATTTTCCTATTCAGAGCTCTCTTGGGCTTGCAGAATTCTATTTCTGCTTAACAGTATCAAAGAAATAAGATCAAGAAACAATAAAACAAGAGGGTTTATCTCCACTAAACATGGGAACACTTTTCTAATTTTTTTTCAAATGGTTATTGGTTAACTCTGAGAAACCAATATTTATGTAGCATAATTGTATGCTTCATTATAGCTGCTGTGAGTGCTTTGGCTAAATTTGGGGCTCAGAATGAGAGTCTTCTCCCAAGCATCCTTGTACTCTTACAGAGGTAAGTTAAATAATGTCTCTTTTTAAAAAAATAAGAATTCTATATGGTTAAATAGTGAAATCCTCATTGTACCATAGAGCAGATGTACTCTAAGGCCTAAGAGTAGAGCTATTGGAGCAAGTCAGGGGCAAATGGCAATTCCTTTCTCTTTTTAGTAGTTGTGTATACCTCTCAATCAATTTGATGTGCTATTGACTGATCACTTCATGAAAGCCTCTAGCCTTGGTTTACGCAATAGCCTACATGTTTCCATCACTCCTCACTCTTATTTATAGAGCTTCTCTTCCCAGCCCCATTCCCTAAAACATTAGTTCTCCGTAGGGTTTTATGTGCTAGGTACGTGTCACGTTAGACTTTGGCTTTCTCTCACATGATTTTGAGAAAGTGACTTAAATACATACGCCTCAATTTGTACAACAGGCTTACTTAAAAAAGCTGTTAGGTAATTCACTATGCAGAGTTGAAAATAATAGTTTTTCATTATCTTCATGACTCTCTGTTTGATGAGGAAAAGACTTGCTTTAGCAAACTGTGATTGCATCTTATAATTGAAGCAGATAAATTACAAGTCAAAGGTTAGCTAGTTTACATAAATTGTCATTTGAGCAATAACAATGGCTGGATTTTGAATTTATCTTTTTAGTATCCTTGGAAAGTATAATACTCCCATTTCCTAATTACAAAAAAGTCTAAGTCTTCAACAGGGTCATGTGGTTACAGATGGAAGAAAAGACTCCAGACTGCTATTTCATGTTCTTGTGCTCCTCGTTATTTTAATGCCTACTTCTGTAGTGCTTGTGATTCACAATAACAGTATTTCTTTAGTAATTCAGAACAGTACCCAAGATTTGTGGAGACTTTAGGAGCTACTGTTGGCTGCTGTTGAGCACTTTTTAAAAGATAGTATCAGATGACGACCTGACCTGTGTCCTTTAGATTTGGTAGTAGAGCTATTGGAAGTCTTTGGGGTACTGTGACATGACTATTCTGTTTCTCCTGGACAGGTGTATGATGGATACTGATGATGAGGTACGAGACAGAGCTACCTTCTATCTGAATGTGCTGCAGCAGAGGCAGATGGCACTAAATGCCACATATATCTTTAATGGTCAGTGAAAGCCAAGGATGTACACTTTTGTTCCTCGAATGTTGTCTAGGAAGCATATTTCATGATTTGCATATGAGCTAACTTCACTAGGCAAATGCTTGGTTTTTGTCTTTGAATGCACTTCCGTTTCTAGAGAAACCTGTGTCTATAGGACAGTTTCTAATTTGGTAATGGTAATTCCTGTGCAACAATCTATAAGAATATAGATTGGGCCCTTACATTTTTTAAGAACGTTGCTCACTTATTCCTGGTTCTCCTTGAACTCCTTCTTGGATGGGTTTACCTTTTTCCCATTTTCTTATGCTATTGTTGTTCCCATATAGCTAAGTTGCTTTCTTTTCCAGGAGGTACATACATTTTGTTGAAAATGTGTATGCTATGCTCCCATGTTTCCTTGAATGAAATAAGTCAGTTTATAAGTTTATAAGGTAATTTCAAGAATATCCTTTATTTTTATATTTAGGTTATAAAGCTTTTGGTTGTATTTTTCTTTTCCTTCAGAAAGCTTTGATAAATATTACAAACCTGGGCCTATTTGGATTTGGGGATTGGCAAGAGGTTATAATGCTGAGATTTCTCTGTGTTTCACAGGTTTGACGGTCTCCGTACCAGGGATGGAAAAAGCCTTACACCAGTACACGTTGGAGCCTTCAGAAAAACCGTTTGACATGAAATCAATCCCTCTTGCTATGGCTCCTGTCTTCGAACAGAAAGCAGGTTAACTCTATTCGTTTTTCTGTGTATAAGTAGTTTTGCAAAACCAAAAAAATTATCTTATTTTCTCTAATACTCATTTAATTGTCACTCTTTTTTTTTTTTTTTTTTTTTGGAGATGGAGTCTCGCTCCCGTCACACAGGCTGGTGTGCAGTGACACGATCTTGGCTCACTGCAACCTCCACCTCCCAGGTTCAAGCGATTCTCCGTCCTCAGTCTTCCGAGTAGCTAGGATTACAGGCATGCCCTACTACGCCTGGCTAATTTTTCTAGTTTTAGTAGAGACTGGATTTCACCATGTTGGCTAGGCTGGTCTTGTACTCCTGACCTCAGGTGATCCACCCGCCTCAGCCTCCCACAGTGCTTGGATTACAGGCGGGGAGCCACTGTGTTCGGCCGATTGTCACCCCTTCTAAATCTTTTAGATTTAAGACCTATTTTTATTAGAGTTTTAAAAAACTTCTGGTTTTTACATAAAAGCAGTAATATGAAATACGCTCCAAGATAAAGGGTTTTTTTTTAATGCAAAGTCTTACAGTATCTGAAGTCAGTTGCCACTGTGCATCTCACTCAGAGCAGTTAATAGTGCTATTGCCTCCTATTTTTATTTTCCAAAGTTGATAATCTCTAAGTTGATTGATTTTGTTATTGGAGGTTCATCTTAAAAGAATTTATGGGACACAATCATAAAAAATATTCCCAAAGAATATCTAACTTTAAAACTTAAAACAAAAACAGAAGACATAAATGTTTAGTGGTTAGAACACAAAACTGGGAAGAAACAATTTTATGCTTATTTTCAACATTTTCAGTTTTTCTGTTGATATAAGTAATTTTTCCTATTTTGATCATGAGAAGATTTTTTTAAATAAATTGTTTTTCCTTTTCTGAGTAATTTTTGTACATCCCAGTCCATTTAAAGCAAATTCTATATTTTTAGGGCTTACTTTATGATTCCACAACATATGTTCACTACATACATTTTAATTTGAGTGTCCCCCTATCAGAAGTGACAGATAACCTGTAAGTATGATTTAGTAATAGCTCATTATATATCTGCTAGAAATGTCTGCTCTTTTCTCTTTCTGTCTGCATTGCTAGCTTGATAGCATGGGGAGAAGTTCACTTACTTGCTCATATCTGTCTTTATAGAAATCACATTTGTGGCTACTAAGCCAGAGAAGCTGGCTCCTTCCAGGCAAGACATTTTCCAAGGTATGATGATTTGATGGTTAGACGTAATAATCTCGCCCCTTGGCATTGTAAATATAATAAAGTCCACCAGTCTTACTCAATTTGATCAGTTCTCAATATAGGAAATCTTCATGTGGCTGAACACCATAGGGTATAGTTGCTGAGGCTGCCCGGAGTCCGGGAACTTTCCAGTTTGTAATTGCTAACTGGGAATGTTTTTCTTTTCTGTATCTCGTTGGTTAACAGGGAACTCATTGTAAAATAAGTATTTAGTTTCTTTTTTTTTTCTTTTGCTTTCATTATTATATAAGCTCACTTACTTAAAAGATTATTTCACTAAAACTTGGGGACATATTAGTTGAATGTTCAACCATTAGTAAGGCTATGGAAACTAAAGCTTTTTTTTTTTTTTTTTTTTTTGAAACAGAGTCTCACTCTGTCGCCCAGGCTGGAGTGCAGTGGCGTGATCTCGGCTCACTACAAGCTCTGCCTCCCAGGTTCACGCCGTTCTCCTGCCTCAGCCTCCCGAGTAGCTGGGATTACAGGCATGCGCCACCACACCTGGCTAATTTTTTTGTATTTTTAGTAGAGACGGGGTTTCACCATGTTAGCCAAGATAGTCTCAATCTCCTGACCTCGTGATCCGCACGCCTTGGCCTCCCAAAGTGCTGGGATTACAGGCGTGAGCCACCGCGCCCGGCCAACTAAAGCATTTTTTAAGCATCCAGAGTAAAGCCTTTCCCTGTCTTCTTCATAGCCTGTGTTCTTTTTTCTTGATAGAACAATTGGCTGCCATTCCTGAGTTTCTGAATATAGGACCCTTGTTCAAGTCTTCTGAGCCTGTTCAACTTACAGAAGCAGAGACAGAATATTTTGTTCGATGTATCAAGCACATGTTTACCAATCACATTGTGTTCCAGGTAAGAGAATGCCCTTAACTCCTGTAGGGATTTAGTATAAACTGGTATGCTTTGAGACAAATATCCTTTACCTATAATTCTAGTTTCTTTTATAGATAATTAATTTGGCAGAATTTCTGGTTTTCTTGCTTAACGCCAGAGCTATAGAGATCCCTTCATGTGATGGGCAACTTTTGATGGTTCAAATCTAAAGGACATAAAACTGAAATGTGTGAAGAAGTTGGACAACATAAAGTATAACCAACTTTTTTAAATTATCATTTAACATCAGGGTAGATTAGGTGGGCTAATTCTAAGAACTTAGATTTGACAGCGATCAGACTTCTGCCATCTTGTTTGGTACAGCAGTCTCAGGAAAGAGAAAAAACTAGTGAATAATATAAACAAAAGACCTCAACAGTAAGGCTCTCCCTGTTGCCAAAAGAAGAATCTTAGGAGGAGACCTACCCTGCTCTTTAGAGATAGAAGGTATAGTGGGTTCCAGAGCTGAGTAGTGGGTTGTGAGTGGGAAGGATAACTTGTTATCCTTCACAACTTTTCCATTTACTGACTTTTCAGTTTGACTGCACCAACACTCTCAATGACCAGCTGCTGGAAAAAGTGACAGTGCAGATGGAACCATCAGATTCCTATGAAGTGCTGTGTTGTATCCCAGCCCCCAGCCTTCCTTATAACCAACCAGGAATATGTTACACTCTTGTTCGTTTGCCTGATGATGACCCTACAGCAGGTACTAACCCTTAGAAGGGAGGAGATACTTAACGTGATTCAGAATGCATTACCTTGAGAGCTCTTCAACTCTTCCAATGCTCAGTTTAAGAATGTGATGCTTTTCTAGAATTTAATGTAATGATGATGAGTGTGTGTGTGTATGTGGTTGTGTGTGTGTGTGAATATATATATTTATAAAATTGGTTACTGCTGCAGAAATAATTTTAAAACTAAATCTCTGAGTAAAATTTGCTAAACAATCTTAAAAGAGAAACTGAGTGTGTATAGCACAAAAAGGAACTCAAGCTTTCTGTTGGAATAATGTGACCACTTGTGACAGTTCATATACCTGATGTCTCCTATGAAGAATCTTGACCCACTTCTCCTCAAAGTTTCTATCTAGTTAGATTGAACTTGGTTATGTAGTAGATGGTTGACATTTTAAAATATATCATTTTTGAAGGTCCTGTAGCATAAGGCTGGTGTCTGAGAGCATGTCTCAGCCTAGTGAGTGGCTTAGCCAACCATGTGTGTCCACATTAAGAAGGGCTTTTAATTCCCAGCTTAACCCATATGCAGTCTTTGCAGGGGGAAAAACAGCTCCTAAAAGGCAGCCAGCTAGTGTCAATAGTAGTATTTACTTATTTGGAGACTTGGGAAGGTCTCATGACCTATCTCTTGTGAATGTCAAGTATTTGTTCTACTTGATTCCCCCCCAGCGCCATTTTCCTCTTTGATTTCTTCTCATATTCATTGCACAATATTCATAACTGTTACCCAATTTTCACAGAAATAAGCACACACATCACATTTATGTTTTGAATAACTTTTACTGCTCATAAGTACAGGAAAAACAGAAGTTAAAAAATTAACAAATACTGGGGAGGTTACAGAGTTACAAGAAATCATAAAAGCACTAGTAAATAGTTATCCCTGGTCATCATTCAGTTACATTTGGGGCTTAACCTGCTTTCTTTTAGCCCCTCTCCAAACTCCCTTCTTAGATGTTGGTTCCTGGGAGCCTCTGTCCAGTCTTATCTGTGTTGGGTGATAGACCAGGCTACTCAGACTCTAGCACGAGGTAGATTCAAGTTGGCACCACTGCTGTGTCTGAATCCCAGGTTGTTCCCTCTGGCCCTGGGTGGAACTCTACTTCTATCCTCTAGCCACCCTGGATCCATAACCCCCTGAGTAGGAAGGCACTTTCCTATCTGGCCTCCAGTATTTCTCCTTTGAGCTCAAGGTTATCTGGCTTTAACCTTTAATTACCTCCTTTATCCCTTTGTGAGGTTTCTCTAGTTCCATTTCCTTATAACTTCGCTTTCTCTCCTGGTCTGTTTTTCTCTCCAGTTAGATTTGTCTGAAATATGTCCACGAGCCAGTAATTAAGCTGGCTCTACTCTTAAGTAAACCTAGTTTTATTTACCCTTTTCTAAACTAGTATTTGGGCCCAATCTTAATGTAGTCCTGTGGCTTCTACCATTGTCTGGAGAGATTCTGCACTTCGTCAGTTCTTTTCCAGTAGCCATCCTTCCATGTTTCAAAATTCCTCCCGCTATTCTACCTCTCACTATTCTACCTCTCACCAACATCCTGTTTTTTAAGGGATGCTATTACTTTGCCACTTACTTTCAGAGGGAAGTGAAATGCTGAACCCATTGAAGAATCAGTCCCTTGCCAATTGAGAATACTAGCTCTTCCCACTTCCCCAGGTTCATTTTGCTAACTAATAACTCAGGTGGCTCACACCCCAGGAAGTATTCTTAACAGAATCTAAGAAGTACAATTTTGTAATACCAAAATACACAAAACAGCAATATAGAAATTACATATAGCATAGGAAAAAACCAACAACAACAACAACAGAAAACATTTCCACCAAGAGAGAAAAAGAGGAGAGGTTTTCTTGCCCCTGTTCACTAAGGATTTTTAAAACATAGATCTTACAGATTAGCCCAGAGATTTCAACATTTGGTCTGCTGGCTATGGACTCTTTTGCTTGATGGTTTGATTTTTGTTTATAAAAGTTTGGCATTTAGGGAATTGTTTAAAGTTTCGTTAGTAGTAAGTTTATATTTGACCCATCATATACCTACTTAAAAACAAACTCCTTTCTATTTAGTTTTTGTCAGAATTCTCAAATTTTTAATCCATGGCCAATCTAAAGTCTATGCTATGCAATGAAAGAAGTGAAATACCAGGGCATAGATGGTAATAGGTATCTTCTACCCATTCCTTCCTTTTTGCATTTTCCCATCACAGATATTCCAAATTTTACGTATCACCTCAAGGTCTTAAACATCAATATGTCTCATTTCAGAAAAATAATGTTTTTCCTTATAATCACAGTGAAAAAACAGAAATTCTTGGTTGTTTCCTTCAACTTGAAAACAGTATAGCATAATAGAAAGAAATATGGGTTTGATAGACAGATGAGGATTTGAATTCTGGCCCTGCTACATACTGACTGTGTGATCTTGGACAAATTATTTGATCTCTTAGAACTGTTATAGGATAAAATGAAATGAAATAATAGGTAAATTGCTTCACATGGTGCCAGACACATAGAACCTTTTAGTGTTTGATTCTAGAATTATCCACTTTCTTCCTTTATCTTCTCTAAAAATGAAGTCTTCTAGAGTTCAAAAGACACGTATCCTCTATTCTCTTCCAGAAAGTTGTTCCATCAGTTATCCTTTCTTTGATCTATCTTTAATCTTTTCTACTCCCCTTACTTTATAAATGTATACAAATCTACCCTATCTGAAAAAATTTGCTGTAACCCAACATCAATATATTACCATAACACCTTCTCGCAAAGGTTGGGCAATTTCTTGAAAGACTAGGGACATGCTAATAATTAGTCCTACTTATTATCTTTCTTCCTCCAAGACCTTGTCCTTTACCTAAAAAGTTTTAGAAAAGCCTTTAAGGCAGCATTCCTTCTAAGCATTCATTCTCTTTCAGCAGCTCTGTTCCCCTGAATATTTATTGCACCTGTAACAATATATATTATATACACAACATTCTACCAATTGTTCCCCATTTTGGACCTTTTTAATGCCACTACCAACTTAACTTTTTATTCCACTGCCTATTCAGAACCATTCTAATCTTTATATTGCTTTTATCAGGTTTTATTGTATCATATTTCTTATTATCTGGAACATTTCAACAAATATTAATAACTTATTTTAAAACAGTCTTTAATAGAAAATACTCATTCTAAGATCAGCTGTAACAGTACATGTATGTGAGTTTATTTTCTCTGATTTTCATTGGAAATATTGCCTGCCATATAATGATTCATAATTATTTTAATTTCTCGACTTTCTGCCTACACTTCCTTAAAGTGCCATCTTAAGCTACTATACAATCTGATGGATTTCGAGGTCTTCTCTGAATCTGTAGTCGCCCTTCCATTATTTTCTGTTCAGTATTAACCATATTAACTTGGCATTCTGTACTAAAAACACAACTTCAGTTAAGTAAGATTTGCCTCAGAGTTTTTTACTTTTAACACTTCCACTCACCCACTGGGATCCATATTAATGAGGCTCAGTGAAACTGCATTCTTCTAAGCCAAGCATTTAATCTGAATTTTAACTCAAATACTAAAAAAAAGCAGGATTGGTAGAACATTATGATTCAGCCACCCTTTCCCCTTCCTTTATCACTAGAATTTGTTTCAGCCTGGCTTTAAAATCAATATTCCTACAGTCTAACCCATTGAAAGATCTGCCAGGATTCTCAGTCTGAGATCTCCTTATTTACCAACTCATTTCTCTTGTACATTCCTCAAACTCACTGAAATTGCCCTAATTTCCTTTCAAGCCATCTTCCTATCCTATTTGGTATCCCTTTTCTACCCCATCATCCTCAATGTCTCTAATTTTTATTGCTGACCTTACTTAAATGATCTTATCTCTACAGAATGCAATTTAATCATGGTATACCCACTCATTTCTGCCTTTTGCCTTAGGGGAAAAACAAAACAAAACCCTGCTCTATTGGTACTGCTCAGTCTTTGTTCATCTGTCCTTGAAATTTCGATTCACAATGTGAATATGTATAAGCTTCCTCCGTGACCCACCTCCAGTGTTCAAAACATTTCCTTCCTGTTCTCTTGGTGTCCAACATACCTGCATCCTTGGCTAGTAGAACTGACTTCTGAGGATTGCTGATGAAGCTCATCCTTCAGACTCCACTTCATAAACCTATCTCTACATGGGACTGTTTATTCTCCTGACTCCAGCATTCATCACGTGTTTCACTCAAGGAGCTTTAAGGCAGCCACCAAATTCTCTAATAACAAGTTCTTTCTATGTACTTTTCCTCTTTGCCATTATTCCATACTTTGGATTAAGGGGCAACAATACCCACCGTACCAACTCTGACATTCCTAAATCTCATAGTGATTTAAACTGTATACTGTCCCCTTAATTTCAATCTTGTTAAACAGAGTAATACTTCCTTCTCATTTTGGCTCTGCTGATTTTGTTGGAGACCACATTAAACACATAGTAACCTATGTCCAACCCCCACACTTGCAAATTTTACATTGTTAATTGTTTGCTTTCAAAATCCTGACTTAGTGATTGCCATCACTGCCTTCCATATCGGTTGGGGTTGCTTTACTGTCACCCTCTACAAAGTTTCTTCTTTGTCTGTTTTCCCATTCAATGAAGTAGTTACCATGACAGGTGAAGTGTTGTTACCCCACTTGCTTGTCGTCTAGGATTTAACTTCTATTCCCTAAAATTTTCTTACACTCAGCCATGCTACTGAACATACCACTGACTTGTCCCTGAGATTTGTCAGTGCCCCCACTTTGGGAACTCTGCATTCCAACTTCCCCTATTCCATGTCAGCCCTTTTACTGATACTAAGCCCGGCAAAAATTAATAAGGTTATGTCCCCTCATCACACCTCTCCTTCATTCCTCTCTTGGCTTACCCACACCGTGCTTTCTCCTCCATGATCTGTGTCAAACACTTTGCCCCTTTTGGGCAAAAAGAA